AATACCTCATTGCTGTGAAGCCCGAGACGAAATGTTATGTCCACGACGAAGATAATACAGCATTCGGCGATCTATGTGCTCGATTCATGATTAAGGTCAAGTAACGTTGTCAGCATCGATTACACGCATTATCCTGTCACTTGCCATAACATTCAATACAACCTCCAAATAAATCTTCAGCAAGCTTGCATTACTAATTTTAAGCATTTTCCTTCTCGGCAGACTTAGTTGATTCCTCAGAAATGGATGGAGCGAGCTCTAAAAACTTTAATAGAAGCGGTTGGGCACGGGTATTGGCACATCTTTTGCAGACCTCGTTCAAATATCCGTGGAGACTAATCGCTTTTTGCTTCAGATAACTCGGTTCAAACTTGTTCCACATTCTCGTGCCAGGTAGTGCTGGAAGCTGCTCGGGTTGAAACATTTTGCGCAATTCACGATGCAACTTTGTAAACTCTGAATACCGGCGTTGTACAATGTTTGTTCCTGCAGTGGATGAGGCTACTTGAATGACAAAAGCGACATATTCTTGGTCATTCTCATCAATTAGAATATGATGCCCTTCAATTTTCGTTTGGAGCCATTCACCACCTTTGTCCGTATTATCAGCACCATCAAAATTTCCCTTTGAGTCTTCAGTCATAATAAGAACTGAGGATGGACTGTTCTCCAATAAATCCTCATGACGGATGATCTCAACGGTTGGAATATTCTCAAAGACATTGACCCAACGATTGAATGAATATTGATTCTGCACGCGCATTTCACATGCAGCTCCACGACGAGCTACCATTCGAATCAAATACTCGCGTTCAAAGCAGAATGCCTTTGTTTTCCAAAGCGGAAATTGTGAGACAGAATCAAGTTTAGGCGAATTCTCAAAGCAGGACAGGTGGTTGTCGTGGAGAACAAGCCATCGATCGCTCCACGAATCGTACCACCCATTAACGCTTTTTTCCTTAAGATACCCTGCCTTGACTGCATTGAAGTAGTCAATGCACCTGCCGCTTGGCAAATCCACGAGGTTTGCAGTAACTCTAAGCGTCTTATCGTTTGGTGCTTTGTCGGTGAAGGATTTGCTGGCTTTTAAAATCGTTTTGTTGATCACGTCTATCCATGCATCACGCACCGGCGTTGATGCGGCCTTCAAAATGTGAACACCAATCGGCGAAACGTTGCTCGATGTTGATGCGGCATCAGCATCCAAAATAGAGGTATCACCATTAAAGACTTTGATGATCAGAGGATCGTCCCCGATGAGAAATTTTGTCGCCGCCGTGAGTTGAATACGCCATTTTCGACGACAGGTGACCTCATTGAGACGTGACAGGAAGTAGAGACGGTCCTTGTCGATCAAAACAATCTGTTCGTGTGAGAAACCTGTGCATCGGTCGCGAACAAGAGCGGTCGCAGACATAAGGACTTTTGTATAGGGTGTAAGATCTACAAGTTTTCTCGTAAGTTTCGGAAGAGGAACCCGGGCACTCATATATCGGTGCAGCGTATCGACCACAGGCTGACACAACTGCATGATGGTAAAGAGCACGACGTCATCGCTCATCCAGTACGATGAATGCGAGGCAGCCGCGAAAGCCACTTCCATCACGCCTTGCTCGTGTTTTCGTCGTCGCATCATGTAGTCATGACGATACGAAAATCCGTGAACTGGACCAGTCAGGCCTTCCCATACCTCCTGCAGCTGACCAAATGTCTGATCCTTGACTGCACTATACTGTCCACATACCCATTAAGTGTAGCGATGCTTAGTAATTGTATTATTTAAATCAGCCAGCAAGAGTAGACTGCATGTAGTACCTGCATCAGTTGAACTGGAACCTTATCATGCATCTCTTGCTTAATCAATGGCTCGATACGATATGCAATAGGGTCGATTGGATGGTAAACATTAAAGTATCGACGACAATTCGGGATCTTGATACCTGGAGTAAATTCTCCATCCTCAATTTTGAGATCTCCTCTTGCCATGATCATCACTCCAACCGGAGACCTGCAACCGTCACGTCATTCTCGTCAATTATCGTATTACGTTCTCATACTTCCAGTACTTGTCAGCAACGTACCCAACTCCGAAGAAGTTATCAATCTCGAATTCAAGACCCGGAAACGAAATACCGTTGATGGCTACTTCGCCTGCTTTGTGCGTGAGGATGTCGTACGAGATCATTGAGCCCAGCGAATGAGCAAAAATAGACACCTTACCATCCCAGCCTAGTGGCACCAATAATTATCTGAGCGGCGCGATAGTTACATAAGGTATAGTTCGTTGGCATACCTGGGTGCTCGTTCATAAAAACCCGGTACTTTTCGTTTAGTTGCTGCGTGACCGAATCAACAATCAGCTGACCATAACGTGGTGATAAATAGTACAGCACGTCCATAAATGTTTCTTTGTTAAACTCACGAATCCTAAGCACCACATACACGACAGCTTTTTAGAGAAGGAAAAGTGATAATTAAAAGTGCTGACATCTTACGCAGATAACCCATCCGGACAAATGAGATCAAAAATGTTGTCTAGACCCGTTGTATCATGAAGATCTTCATGCCACTCGATGGATTGCATTTCTAGTGCTAAAGGAACATCTTGAAATGTCGTCTCTAGCATTGTCCGAAAGATATCTCGAAACGCATGGTTGCCACCTTCAACACCAGTTTGTCCATTCCATGACTTGAATTCTCCATCACGAAAGTCAATGTGTTGCCCGATACCGTGGATGACGAATACAAGGTGGTTAAACGTCCTCAACCGAATCTTTTGATGTCATTCAAGATCAGTCACTTTAAATTTGAAGAGCAATTGAGAATTTTAACATGTTACCGTTGACGGATATTCTCCACCTTCTTCGTCTCCGCTGTCAGCTTCGTCAATACCTGTATAATACATCAAAGCAATAACGACAGGCTCGTAATCATAATTTACACAGTAAACGCACTGGACGACGAGGACGATCGTGAAATCACACTAGTGCTGTAGCTCTTGTTCCTGTATTTAGCGATGCTCGGTCTGGCCAACTGTAGCCGCATATGTTCATAGTGCATCTTAAGTAATGGCCGTCTGAGAGCAGATTGAGGCAGTAAGCGTGCAAAATCGACAATAATCGAATCTAGAATAGTAGCTGGAATTTGCTGCGATAGATACCCATAAAAGTTCTCGGCCGAGACGTGGCCCATACCAAATTCGAGTGCATTGGCTTTGAACCTCTCAAACTCGTCTTCGTTTTGCAATGCTCTCTGTACGCGCTCAGTCACATTATTATTAAGCGCCACAGCCGCTTTGCGTCCTTTCACAGGCTCTACATCTTCGAATTCTAAGCGTGACTCTTCCTCAATGCCGTCGGACGAAACGCACTCAAGTGATGAACTGCTCTGTGTCCGCTCGAGCTCAACATTTTCAAAATCTACAGCTGCGCTCTCGTCAATTTTTTGTCGGTATAAATTGATTGCTCTATCCAAAATGTCGCTGCAATCCTGCAGCATGCAGAGATTTTGCCAAACACTCTCGCGGGGAACTGCAGACATCTGCTCCCCATCCCAGAGAAGCTCATCTTCTTCATTCTCGTAGTCATGTACTAAAAGCGTAAGACGCTCCCTCAGCTCGCGTAGCTGTTGCTTATATTGCTGCAAGTAGATTTGGGGGAATAATATGCGCTCGGGAAGCGCTTCAGCCGAAGCAATAGCCACGGCGACGTTCATAATAATATATCTGCGGCTCAATTTGCAGGGAATGTATCACTAAGGTCGCACGAAGCGTAACGAACTTGAAGTTGTATTTAACAAAATTCTGGAATACAGCCACAACGTATATTTAACAGAGATTTTGGACCTAAATATTAGTGAAGTCTAATGATGCACGAAAAGGGTTTACTATGTGAACAAGTGTTTCAGCTATTCCGTTCTATTAACCCAAGTCATATAATCGTCGATGAGCACAGGCCAGGCCTCGTTCTCGTCGTAATTGTCGTAAGATACGCGTACTTTCAAGAAGAAGTCAAAGAGAAGATCCCATGTGTCACGTGTCACGCCTTTAACGGGCTTTTTCTCAGCCAGAAATGCTAACCAGCTTGCCGTAAGCTTTTCAAAACGCGTAGACAACAAAAGCTCCCACATGGCCACAGCGATGTCTATGCTAAGGCTTTTCTGACCAGGTTCTTTGGAAAAGCCGAAACAGAAGCTGTAAAACTTTTTAAACTCAGTTTCGCTATGGATTGATTCGCGTAACTGTGGAATTTTGGCCTTCAAAATTGCGGCAGAGTCGCATCCCATCTTCTGCATTCCGCTTTGCCACTCCTTGCGCGTAAATGCACACATATAGGTTGCCTTCATCTTCCAAGCAATGACCAACACCACCAAGTCTTGCGAATCCACGCCAATATCCTCGCAAAACTTAAGAATTCCCTCTTCATTTATTGTATCTTCATCATCGTCGGGATCTACAGCATCAATCCTGAAAAAAGTGAGACATCTCCAGAGCTTACAACGGATGACTTAATCACTGCACCAATATAAGTATCGAACCACGCATTCACTGCGTCGACAGAGACTGTCAAATTCTGACTGTTTGTACAGCGACATTAGACAAGCAAGCATTTACATAAATTTTCAACGAGACTAACACAGACTTGATACTTCGACCGCCGTTGGCGTAGAACTCATCGACAGCACGCATAAGATCCCAGCTGAACTTTTCCAGGTATGACTTTGCCATTGAATCACTATGCAGAGCGCGATAAGTCAAGTCATTCCCCTTTTCAAAATGACATTTATCTATGCAGATTCAGCAGCGTACTTTGCGTTCGTCGTGCTCTTAAAAGCCAGCAGCTTTTTCTTCTTGTCGTTCACAAACTTGCTCGACTACGCCAACAGAAGTACGACAGACGTAAGCTACATTGATTGATTTGAGAGGAAGCAGACGCTTTCACGGAAAGGGCGAGGCAAGAGCGTGGAGATTGTAATGTCTTACCATACGTATGGCGGGTTCTGGCTCGTGAGTTTAAAGTAAGTAGTGAGGATTGCGATAGCCAATTGAGCGATGGCATAAGCTCTTCTATCGAGTATTATGTGGAATACAGTATTTAGACTGGTGTTACTCTTTGATGCAATTATTTATACTTTCCAGGACCAAAAGAAATAAAAAAACACTCGAGTTGTCTCCACTATATTAGTGCATGCATCACTTGCATTAAAATTGATAGAAAGCCAAAAGAAAGAAATTCCCACAGAAGGAAAGCTTTATGTGAAAAGAGAAGCTACAAAATCTAAAGCCAAATCCAATAAATGATCAAATCCATCTTGTCGTTCGGATAAATCGACCACCATTACGAATTCGAGAAGTCGCAACGTCGCTGCGTCCAGTATATCTAGGACCCCGCTTCCAGTTGCGACGCGTTCGCTTTTCATGGTAGCGGTGCAGCGCGCGTTTTTTCTCTGGAGACTTGGAGCTCTTGCAAATCCAGCATGTCTTAGATTTCTGCTGGCATGCGGCAATCTCGGTCTTTTCGCACTGAGGTCTCATTTGTGATTTAGGATAACTAAAGCTAGGTGTGCCAGCTGCCATCATGACTACACGATTATTTGAAAATGCCATATCTATCCGAGGCACTTGTATGCATGGAATACGCGTGTCCATTTTTCCAAACATCGGTGTACGGATACAAGAGCGAGGGTCCAATGGAGCCATGCTCGCCCACATGGGGGCCGATGGAATGATTTTAACTCTAGGAGTGTCATTATTGTCGCGATCTGACTCATCCATCTCTTCATTGCTGTGGCCCACTATTTCTACCTTCTCCTGCTCTTTTGACATTGAGTCGAAGGCGGCCGACAAATCACTCATGTTCACCACGTCATCGTCCAAAATATCAATCCAGCTTGCATGCATGTCCTCCTTGTCAGTATCGAGCTCCACCACTTCATCACATGAAGGCGAGGTCTTTATTTCGTCCACGAGGCCTATCAACATGTCATCCACGTCGTAAATCAATTTGCTGTCGTCAGCTTTAACAGCCAGCTCCGCCGTCCTGATACAAGCACTCATTGTGTTTGCAACTGCATTCCAGGCATTCCTGACTTTAACAAAGTCGGTTGTGCTCTGCCACTCGGTCATTTTTCCCGAGTCGCACAACATATCGTTCTTGTCTTTTCGTTGCTGTAACTTGATCACTCTTTTTTTGCTTTCGCGTTCTTTTTTGCTTCTTCTTCTGTTGTTGCTTCTTCATTCTGGGATCCATCCTTCTAAATTCATGCTACGTCGCCATTATTCCTAACGTTTTGTTTGTTTTTCAAATGCTGTTCCAGTCTTCTCTCACTCCATATTCATGATGAGTACGGATGAAGGAGCTGAAAATGATATTCGAGATATCATTTTGACTACCACGTAAAAAAACACCCAAATTTAGAAAGACATAGTCTCCCTGGTTGTTTGCTTTTTTTGAGCTGCTTCCTTGGTAAAGGGTGGGGGGAGGGGGCCACTTGCGGCTTTTGGGGTAATGAGCACCGCCTCCTCCAACAGATTCGCAGTACCAGAAATATTATTCTTGAGCTACCCTACATATAAGATCCATAGCAGGTAATGATGCTCCGCAAAAATGGAGAGGGATGCAGCAGGGAGAAGTCGGTTCGACAATACCAATTTAACCGGCGATTGCTTCTCAAAACAGAGCAAATTCCTAAATTAAACCGTACTGTAATTATCCTGTTGTGGACTTAAGTAAAATTACGCGAGTCATAACTATCAAGTGTACATTATTACCGATCCTGTGGTGCAGTGGTTCGCCGCTCACTTCAGGACCGGGAGGTCCCGGGTTCGATCCTCGGGGCCGGGTAGAGTCGGGTTAGAGT